ATCTTGCCACCGTCGGCCTTTCTCGGGCTAACACCCTCGATCTGGCTCACTACCACACTTGCGCCCACCCTGAGCCTCACAGAAGGCGATGAAGATTACAAGCACGCCCGTGGCAACGCTGACCCTTCGCGGTATCGCGTGAAAGGCCGCAGAACGAAGGCCAGGGCTGACATCCGTCTCCGAGTTGCCGCCCGCGTCCTAAGGCTCGGCCCTTCTTCTCAGGACGGCGTCTCTTGGTCGCGGGCCTGCACTCTGGGGCTTTCAGGGATCTAACTCGGTGCCTGCCATTCTGGGCCGCGGTCTCCGAGGCGGCCCCGAGACCGGAGGGGAGAGGGCGCCACAGGGTCCTCGGTGCCCGGTCAAGCGTCACAAATGCCACAGTCACCGCAGGCCGGTTCACAGATGTGCCCGCGCCACCCCCGCGCCACCCCCGTGCCCATTTCCTCATTGCACGCGATCAACTCACCTCTCGGAGGCCACACCACCGAGGAAGCAGGAAGGAAGCGGGGCGCGGAGGCCTGTGGGAAATGTAGTTCGTCCGGGAGGGCCTGGTCCCCGCCCCCGTGAGCAGCTCGGGAATGCGCTTGCGCGAACGCCCAACGCCGGCAGCCCCCCCCCCCCCCCCCCCCCCCCCAAAATTGATTGTCCGGGTAGGGGTTTCAAGCCGATTCCCAATTGAAACACACTCGCGAACTCCGGTTTGTGCTAGTTGGTGGCTTGAGAAAGAAGTCTTGGGGTCTAATACATACCCGGCATATAGCAGGTACTCATAGATACCCTGGTGGGATGTGGGTATATCAGATCCTTGATAGAAATAGCCCCCAAACTCTAGCAGACAGAACAGCCCCAGGACCTAGATACAGGTTAGGTTTGCTTAAACACCAGCTTTTGTCTTACCCTTTTCTCTGCAGGTAGCAGTTGAGGGATCTGGATCGTTCTAGTAAAGTTAGTTATGTTAAGATGGTTAGTACTGTCATTCTGAGGTCCTTTGATGTTTTTAAACTGAGTAATTATTTTTTTTTATTAAAAATTTTTTTTTAATAGTGAGACATCATGAGGTACAGTTGCAGACTGACACATTTTTGTGCTTGGGTTTCAATTATACAATGATCAAGTACCCATCCCTCCACCAGTACCCATTTCCCACCACCACGGATCCCAGTATCCCTCCCACCCCCCATCTCCCCCATCCGAGTGCTACTAAATTTTTTTAAATTTTGTTTCTTTTTTTTTTTTTTACAGTTGTAGATTTACAATTTTTTGTGCTTGGGTTTCGATTATACAATGATCAGATACCCATCCCTCCACCAGTGCCCATTTTCCACCACCATGGATAATATCCCCCCACCCCCATTCCCCCATCACCCCCTGCCTCTGTGGCAGGGCAATCCCCTGTGTTCTCTCTCTCCTTTTGGGTGTTGTGGTCTGCAAAAGAGGCATTGAGTGGCAAACATGTTCAGTCCATAGTCTACTTTTGACATGCATCTCCCCTCCTGGGAGGATCCTCCAAACACCCTTTATTTGGTGCTCCCTTTTCTATCTGAACTGCCCTTTCCTCTAGGATACCCGGCTGGCCTTTAAGTTATGGAATAATCCTCCTGGTGCTGATCTCAGCTATTCTTGGGTATTAATCTCACTTTGTTACTTTATATCCCCCAGATAAATGCAATCTTTCTATGTCTATCCCTCTCTTTCTGACTCATTTCACTTAGCATGATACTTTCCATATTGTACCACTTGTATGTAAATTTCATGACTTCATCTTTTCTAACAGCTACATAGTACTCCATTGTGTAGATGTACCAAAGTTTCTTTAACCAGTCATCTGTTCTTGGGCATTCAGGTTTCTTCCAGTTTCTAGCTATTGTAAAGAGTGCTGCAATGAACAAACAAGTGCAGATGTCACTTCGACTATACCTTTTTGCCTCTCTGGGATATATTCCCAGGAGTGGTATTGCTGGGTCAAATGGGAGCTCAATTTCTAATTTTTTGAGAATCGTCCATACTGTTTTCCAGAAGGGCTGAACCAGTCGACATTCCCACCAACAGTGAAGGAGTGTCCCTTTCTCGCCACATCCACGCCAGCATCGGTTGCTTTTGCTCTTTTGAATGTGGGCCAGTCTCTGAGGTGTGAGATGGTATCTCATTGTGGTTTTGATCTGCATCTCCCTGCTGATTAATGATGTAGAGTATTTTCTCATGTGCTTTTTTGCCATTCGGATTTCTTCTTTGAGAAAATTTCTGTTCATTTCATTGCCCCATTTTTGGATGGGGTTGGATGTTTTCTTCTTGTGGAGTTTAACCAGTATTTTGTATATCCTGGATATCAACCCCTTGTCAGATGTGTATTTGGTGAATATCCTTTCCCATTCTGTAGACTGTCTTTGTATTTTGGTCACTTAAACCGAGTAATTATTAACAGAGGTATCTATTTTTATTTTCCTCTATTACATCATGCTTTGCTTTGAGCATTTTTAAGCTCTCAAAAAAAAGCAAACCAGAGGCTGCAGAGTGTACAATAGGTAAAGCACACTACCAACCCAGTCACACACTGCTAACCTGGTTCATCCTGGGCACCCCATACAGTCTCCTGAGACAGCCAGGAGTGATCCCTGAGCATAGAGCCAGGTGTAAGCCCTGAGCACAGCCAGGTATGCCCTAAAAAACCCCAAAATAATCTTGCTTTATATATATATGAAGCTCACATATAGTTTTGCTTAACTTTTCTGTGTCCAAGACTACCCAGAAACAAATTAGTAAACTAATAGTCATGTTTTCTCAGGGTGGGCTGCAGACAATTGTGGCAGAGGAAACCAACAGTGTCCCCTCTCCATACTGCCTTATTTAAATCTCTATTTTTGTAGATACATAACCTTTTACAAATGTGACGCCACTTCCTTCTATTGGGTTAAATAGAAGGGGGCACACTCAGCAATGCTCAAGGGTTATTCCTGGCTTTGCATTCAGGAATTACCCCTGGTGATGCTCAGGGGACCACAAAGGATTCCAGTGATAAAACCCCGGGTTGACCACTTGCACGGAAAGCACCCTACCTGCTGTCTCTAGTTGGATGCTGCTTCATTTATAAAAAAAAAAAAAGTTATTTTGGGTCACACCCAGTAATGCTCAGGACTTCATTCTGGTTCTGCACTCAGGATCTATTTCTGGTGAGGTTCTGCACTTAGAGATCTATTTCTTCTGAGGTTCCTGGGGGACAGTGGGTGCCAAGAATTGAACTCGGGTCTGTCACATGCAAGGCAAGTGTCCTATATTCTGTACTATTACTTCAGCCTATTAATTCAGTGCAATCTAAGTGCTTTTTGTCTTGCTTGGCATGTTGTTAGTTTTTCTGTGTGTGGGCTTAATGCTTATTCACTTCAATAGCTCTGGTCAACAAATGTTTACTGAGAAGCTAGTAGGATTAAGCAGTATACCAAGTATTCTGGTGCTTATGCATATTAAAGAATTTTCTAAGGGGTGGCGGTGGTGCGAGGGATACTGGAACAATGGTGGAGAATGGGCACTGGTGGAGGGATGGGTAAACAATCATTGTATGACTGTAATGCAAACATGAAAGTTCGTAAGTCTGTAACTGTACCTCATGGTAATTCACTAATAAAAAATTAAAAAATAATTTTCTAAAACTTCTTTACTGTTCAGCACATAAAGTACTTTTCGTCATAGATCTGCTATATCTTACAAATTTTCAAGTGGTTTTCTCTGTCATTCATTCTCAAGTGTAATTTGCTCTATTCCCTTTGGTATATAAAACTCCAGTTGGTGAAGAAATAAAATTTTGGCTTGAAGTCTTTATTATTTTTCGATTTTCTATAAGGTGGCATACATTTTATTTTTCTATAAAGTTATATCATCCAAATATTCCCACTGACCTCACAGCAATCTAACCTTATTCTTCTGGGATCCTTTTTGGGGGGCGAGGGGGCTTCGGCAGGTAGGACATACCCAGCAGTGCTCAGGGTTTATTCCTGACTCTGTGCTCAGGGATTACTCCTGGCTAACTTGACTTGGGGGAACGTCATTGGGTGCCAGGGATTGAACCTGGGTTGGCTGTGTGCAAGGCAAACACCCTTCCCACTGTACTATCGTTCGGCCATTCATTTTTGTTTTTTGGGCCATACTTATTAGTTCTCAGAGGCTATACCTGGCTTGGAAGCAGTTCATTGTTCTATGTAGTGCTGGGGAAAGGGAGCAAGGTTATTGCATACAAAGCATGTGCCCCAACCTTCTGATTTATCCCCACAGCTAATCTATTATGAAGCCCCCGTGGAGATAAAAGGACAAATTGTGAAAGTTTAGGTTTTAAATTTCTTCTTAGAATAGCATCCACTAAAGATGATACAAGATGATCCCAGAGTCACTGCACACAGAAAGCCTTCTTTTTGTATAATCTTTAATATAAAATTGTGAAAATAAAGGCACAAAAAAAATTAATAAAGCAGCTCTCATTTAGCACCTTCAATGAGTCAGACAGTATTTGAATAAGTATCTTCACAATGCAAAGAAACCTCGTACTAATACTTATAATTTATAATTGGGAGAATTTAGATGTAGTAATATGCCCTCTAACTAGTGCATTATAATGGTGAAGGCAAGTCAAGATTCAGTTCAAGTTAGTTTTATATAATAAACTTTTAAGTATTTAACAAGACTTACAGGGAAGAATCTGCTGTGTTTTAAATATTAATGTAAGCCTTCTGTAAGTGTTAACTATCAGAAGAATAATGACAAGGCAAACTGGTATCCCATAAATACATTCATGCTATAAACTCTCTGATTTCCGAGAAGACCCCTAAAATGAGAAAGGTTTAAATGATTGTCTTTAACACATTCAATGCCTTCCTAAACCCTCTAAATTTCTTTATGTTCATGGAACTTTTAATTTCCACAAGTTGAATTCTGCTAATAAGTTCGGTAATGCAAACTCCTTCCAATTCCTTTTTTTTCCTTTTTGGGTCACACTCAGTGATGCACTGGGGTTACTCCTGGCAGTGCTCAGGGGACCATATGGGATGCTGCGAATATCGAATCCGGGTCGGCTGCGTACAAGGCAAATACCCTACTCGCTGTGCTATCTCTTCAGCCCCTCCTTTCAATTCTTAATGTTTATAAGGAAGGATGTTATTGTCTAACATTAATGTTATGTATATTCTGGTACTTAAGTAAGATCTTTTTTTTGTTTGGGGTCATACTGAGCTATACTCAGGGTTTACTCCTGGCTCTGTGTTCAGGGATCACTCCTGAGAGATGTTAGGGGATTGTATATAATGCCAGGGATCCCCAAGTGCAAGGCAAGTGTCCTGCAGTACTATTGCTTTAGCCCTTAAGTAAAGGTCTTACATCTACGCATGAATCCATGAGTTGCTGTCCTCAAAAACAGGAGTTTTTGAGTTTTACTAGTATGAATTTCTGAGCATCCCCACCTTCCCACATTGCTTCAATCACTCCAGTCTGCATGAGTTTTCTGGTGCTGACTAAGGTGTGAGCCACGAAGAAAGGCCTTCCCACATTGCTTACATTCATAGGGTTTCTCACCAGTATGAATTTTCTGGTGTCGACTAAGTTCTGAGCCACGACCAAAGGTCTTCCCACATTCCTTACACTTAAAGGGTTTCTCACCACTGTGACTTCTCTCATGGTGAGTAAGTTCTGACCTTCGGATAAAAGCCTTATCACATTGCTTACATTTATGTGGTCTCTCACCAGTGTGAACTTTTTGATGGCGAATCAGTTCTGTGCTACAAGTAAAGGCCATTTCACATTCTTTACATTTATAGGGTTTCTCACCAGTGTGAGCTCTCTGATGCCGAGTAAGTTCCGCGCCACGGCGGAAGGCCTTCCCACACTGCTTACATTTATATGGTTTTTCGCCAGTGTGGACACTTTGATGTCGAAGAAGATGTGAGTCAGAGATAAAACCTTTCCCACATTCCTTACATTTATGAGGTTTCTCACCAGTATGAATTCTTTGATGTAAACTCAGTTGGGAGGCACAACTATAGACTTTCCCACATTCCTTACATTCAAAGCGGCGTTCCCCAGTATGATCGATCAGATGAAGTCTAAGTTGTGTATCATAACGAAAAGCCTTTCCACATTCCTTACACTTATGAGGTTTTTCACCAGTATGGATTGTCTGGTGTCGAGTAAGGTGAGAAGGACGGGTGAAGGCCTTCCCACATTCCTTACATTCATAGTATATCTCATCAGTATGTATTCTCTGATGTAAATTAAGTTGGGAGGTAGATGGAAAGGCCTTTCCACACTCCTTACACTTATAGGGTTTCTCACCTATATGAAGTTTTTGATGTTTATTAAGTTGTGAATGAGAACGGAAAGCTTTCCCACATTCCTTGCATTTATGAGGTTTCTTCCCAGTATTACTGCTCTGACGTTTAGTACTTTCAGAGTCATGAATAAAATTAGAGTTCTTATTTTCATTACCTGTTTTACCTTCATGAATTCTTTGATGCTTAATCAAGTCAGAACTAGTATTAAAGGTTTTCCCACATTGTCCACATTTGGAATCTTTTTCCTTACTATGACTTACTTCTTGTGGGATGCGGTGTGACTGGTTCAGGGCAACTTCCTTACGTTCCTTGCAATCACTGGATTTTGTTCTTGTGTGCTTTGTCTGAGGTAGACTACGGTCTCTGTGCTGAGTGGAAGTAGACTTTTCTTCAGAGGCTATCACAGTTTGTCTGAAATGTCCCTCCTTTGGTCTCTCCAACTGAGACTTGTTTTCTCTCTTATCTCTGACCCTATTGTCCTCAAGGTTAGGGCTTAAAATTGTTTTCGCTATCTTCTGTTGCAATGATTTACTTTCACAATTATTTTCTTTTAGAGAAAAATTTCTGGTTTCTCTTCTGGTCTCCCAGTCTGTAAGATAACACACACACAAAAAAAAAACAGGCATTAAGACAAGAGAAAGAAAACAGGCATTTTCAGATCGCAAAGGTTAGCAAAAGGTCTGGGGTCAAAGAGATAGTAAGGGTTGTGTGCAAGTGACCTTGGTTCAATCCTTGGTAAAACATGGCCCTCCAAGTATTGCCAGGAGCAGCCCTGGAGGAACCCTAGCACTGCTGTGTAATTTCTATCTCTTCAGTCCTGAACAGCAATGCACCCCAAGTCTTAGTATGAGGTCACCAGGCCTTAAGAGCATTGCTTGTGAAACCCCTTCTCCCCCCACCAAAAAAAAAAAAAGAAAAAACCCAAGGTGATATTTTAAGGTAGAAATGAAAACCTAAAAAGAGTAATTTTAATAGTTCTATACTCCCAATGTGATAAAAAGAGGGAGTAGTAGAGAATATGAAAAGATGAGAGACAGGCACAAAGTGGTTCTTCACTATTGGTTACAAATCATATACAGCTGCAGGAATTGTTAAAAACAAATGTTCAGGGCTGGAGATAGGACAGAAGGCAGGGTGCTTGTGTTGCATCCAGCTGACCCAGGTTCGGTTCCCAGCATCCCATACGGTCCCTAGAGGCCACCAGAAGTGATCCCTAAGTGCAGATAGGAGTAAGCCCTAAGCACCAATAGGTGTGGCCCCAAAACAAAAACAGTGAAGTAAAATAAAAACACAAACACATGTTCAGGCTGGAGAGGAAGCTCAAAAGGCTGTGCATGCAGAAGGCCAAGATTGATCCCTGGCACATGATACCCCAAACACTGTTAGGGTTGACCCCTGAGCACAGAGCTGTCATGTCATGTACTAGGGTCAGACTACATGAATTTTTAGGCTTTTACCTCCCTTGCTTTAGAGACAGAATGTCTGAGTACAAATCTTAGTCACACACAACTTGCTATTATATATACTATACAGAGATAGTCCAACTTAACCACCAAGAAATCTTTACAGAGTCTGGGATGTATCTCAAGTGGTCCACCATATGCCTTGTATATGCAAGGTCATGGCTTTGACTTCTGCTATCCAATAGCCCCTAAGGTACCCCAAAGATCAGCCCAGGTCTCTAGAGCACCACTGTTTGTGCCTCCACAAGTAATTAACAAAAAAAAAAAAAAGAGGAATCACCTCCCAACTAATTCTATTGCTCCAATACCTAAACTAAAGATACCTCAAGGAAATTACACACCGACATCCTTTATGAATAAACAGACATAAACATTCTTTACTTTTTGTCACACCTGGCGATGCACAGGCATTACTCCTGGCTCATGCACTCAGGAATCACTCCTGGCAGAGCTCAGGGGACCATATGGCATGCTGGGAATAGAACCCAGGTCGGTTGCATGCAAAGCAAACACCCTACACACTGTGCTATCTCTCCAGCCCCCAACATAAACATTCTTAACAAGTAAAACCAAACCAAACCTATCAGTATATGAAAATGTTTGTATATCTTGAATCAGTGGGATTTATCCAGGGAATATAAAGTTGATCTATCATTCTAAAATACATCAATTTCATGTATTATATAAATAGAATAACAACAAAAAACCCACGTGATATCTCAATATATGTACATAAAGCAATTAACAAAAACATTCCAAATCCCTTTCAAGGTTTTAAAAAACAACAACTTGGACCACATAGGTATCTTAAAGGGCTGACAGCATGATTTGCATGTGATAGGCCCAGCTTCAATCCTGGTACTGACATCCCCAAAAGCAATCCTCCAGCACTGCTGAGTGTCAAAAAAACCCTTAACAAAGCCATAACAAACTAGGGAATAGAACCTGGATGTGAATGTTCAGAGTAGCAGCATTATTTCATTTGCTTTTTGGTCCATACCCAGCAATGCTTAGGACTACTTCCAGTTCTGTGCTTGGGGGTTGCTCCTGAAGGTGGGTTGTGATCATGAGGTACCAGGTATCACACCCAGACTACCTTATGAGTCCACTAAGTTACCTTTCTGGCCCTAGCAGCATTATCTAACAGCATTATATATCATCTTAAGTGGAAACTATAGAAAAAATCATCTACTAATCAATGGATAAATAAAATGTGCTTGTAATATAGGATTTTATTTGGCAATACAAATTGCAGAACAAGTATATGTTACAACATTCATAAACTCGGGAAATGTTCCTATGATTGAAAAAAAATTACAAGACTTTTTTGGTGGAAGAGGGAATATCTCTAGTAACCTGGTATTTGGGGAAGTAATGCAGAGACAAGGGTTGGACACAGGGCCTCGTACTTGCAAGGCATGGGCTCCAACCCTTTTTATATGTGATTTCATTAATAGAAAATGTTCAGAGTACTTAAATCTATAAGTATAGAAAGTCTCAGTGGTTGCTTAAGTGTGAGTATGGTAAATGACTGTTAGTAAGTATAGGATTCACTTTGCAGTGATAAAATTAGTTTGTGACAGATGCAAAATTCCTTAAACATGTTTAAAAAAACTGTAAATGAGTGAATTTTATGACATGTGAATTTTACCTCAACAGAACTGTCTGAAAAGTCAGAACAAAAGTAGACCCAGACTCAGAAAAAATATAGTAATATCATGAGGAGGAGGAAGGTACTTTCATCCTGATATCAGAGGGAAATATGAGTTGGGGTTGCAGAGTGATAAGTGAGTAAAAACTTGTGAAAGATCCTCATGCCAAAGCATCCTTACTTTTTCTCCTAGTTCTTAAGCTGTTTCTCAGAATTTTCAGATATGTCAAGATCTCATGTCACAAATGTTTTGCCACCTGCCATAGCCTTCCCCACATCATCTTCACTCACCTGGGCACCATACTTTTGTCTCGTTCCTATTAACCATCCAGGGCTCCTTCCCCTGCTCCAATAAGGAGATCACATCTGGCTTAGCACCACAAAGTCCTGTCCAAGGAAAAATAGGATGGTGGCATCATTATGTTACAGATGCCCCAGAATAAAAATCAATTGCAGACAAATAAAGAGAAGCCAAATAAAGTCAGTGAAGGCTGGAAGAATAAAAGTTGTTAATGGAATGGTCTATCTCCAACTTCACAAGAGACAAATAATTATTCGGTAAGCAAGAATCATTAATCCAGTTGGCACTTGAAATGCACAGAAATTCATTGCAAAGAACATAAAAATTCCAGAAGATCAATTTTGAATTATGAGGGACAGAAAAGCTTACCCAGCGAGATCAGGTTATTGTACGCCTCCAACATTATATCTCGATACAAATCCTTCTGAGCAGAGTGCAAACATTCCCACTCGTTTTGAGAAAAGTAAATGGCAACATCTTTGAACTTCACGCCCTGAAACCACAGATAAATAAACAACTCATGAAATTAATAAACACAATTTTCACAATGTAAGAAAATGGAGACATACAAAAATGCATCAAATCAGTATCAGTTACCTTCTTTCATTTTTGCTTTTTGGGTCACACATGGTGATGCGCAGGGATTAGTCCTGGCTCATGCACTTAGGAATTACTCCTGGCAGTGCTCAGGGGACCATATGAGATGCTGGGAATCGAACCTCGGTCAGCTGCATGCAAGGCTAACGCCCTACTGCTGTGCTATCAATACAGCCCCATCAGTTACTTTCTTGCCTAGTAGGAAAACCCATTGCAACATGGGATCCCATTCAACCATTCACTTCAATTTCCTCATATAACAGCTCTATTAAGAAAGGTATTCATTGAGGGCTGGTTTCCCCACTCCTAATGCACTTAAGAAATGCTTAGTAGTTCAAAAGAAACAGTAACCAAAATACAAAGACAGCCTACAGAATGGGAAAGGATATTCACCAAGTACACATCCGACAAGGGGTTGATATCAAGGATATATATACAAGGTACTGTTAAACTCCACAAGAAGAAATCACCCAACCCCATCAAAAAATGGGGTGAGGAAATGAACAGAAACTTTCGCAAAGAAGAAATTCGAATGGCAAAAAGGCACATGAGAAAATGCTCTACATCACTAATCATCAGAGAGATGCAGATCAAAACCACAATGAGATATCATTTCACACCACAGAGACTGGCCCACATCCACAAGAACAAAAGCAACCAATGCTGGCGCGGATGTGGCGAGAAAGGGACCCTCCTTCACTGCTGGTGGGAATGCCAGCTGGTCCAACCCTTTTGGAAAACAGTATGGACGACTCTCAAAAAATTAGAATTTGATCTGCCATTTGACCCAGCTATAGCACTCCTGGGAATATATCCCAGAGAGGCAAAAAGGTATAGTCGAAGTGACATCTGCAATTGTTTGTTCATTGCAGCACTCTTTACAATAGCCAGAATCTGGAAAAAACCTGAGTGCCCAAGAGCAGATGACTGGTTAAAGAAACTTTGGTACATTTACACAATGGAGTACTATGTAGCTGTTAGAAAAGATGAAGTTATGAAATTTACATACAAGTGCTACTACATGGAAAGTATCATGTTAAGCAAAATGAGTCAGAAAGAGCAGGATAGACACAGAAAGATTGCATTCATCTGGGGAACATAAAGCAACAAAAAGGGAGACTAACACCCAGGAATGGCTGAGATTAGTACCAGGAATTTTGCTCCATGAATGGAAGGCCAGCCACATGTTCTAGGTGAAAAGGAAGCTCAGATAGAGAAGAGAGCACCAAATGAAGGCTGTTGTGAGGACCCTCCCAGGGTGGGAGAAGCATGCTAAAAGTAGTCTATAGACCAAACATGATTGCCACTCAATGCCTTTCTTGCAAAACACAGTACCCAAAAGAAGAGAGAGAGAACAAGGGGGAATACCCTGCCACAGAGGCAGGATGGGACGGGGGGGATGGGGGGTGGGGGGGGATGCTGGGACCCGTGGTGATGGATGACGGGCACTGGTGGAGGTATGGGCACTTGATCACTGTATAACTGAAACCCAAGCACAAAATTTGTAAGCCTATAACTGTACCTCATGGTGTTTCACTAATAAAAAAAGAAAAAAAAAGAAATGCTTAGTAGTGAGGCAGAAGTGATAGTACAGAGAACAGGGCACTTGCTTTGCATGTGACTGACCCATGTTCGATCCCCAGCATCCCATATGGTCCTCTGTTAACCACCAGAAGTGATCCCTGAGCTCAGAGTCAAGAGTGGGTGCCCCCAAAACAAAAACAAAACACAAAAGAAAAAAGAAATGCTAAAGAGCTGTGTTGAATAACACCTAAATACATTTTGGAAAACAATGGACTTCAGCTATAAGTAATATCACTCACTAGAATAGGAAGAACTGGAGAGGAGTTCAGTAGCAAGAAGCCTTGGGAAAAAGAAATCTGCTCTTTAAATTGTCTGAAATAAAACATGCAAATAAAGGAGTGACGAATACAAATTCACATAAATAATGGCTTTAAGAAGATTTTTTCCCCAGTTTTATTCCAGGTTTAACCTAGAGAAATGCTGAGAAGGTAAAGAAGGGAAGAAAAAGAAGTCACTTTTTTACTTCTTACTCAGTTTTATTATTTTTCCTGGTTTTTTTTTGTTGTTGTTTTTTTGGAGGTTGCAACTGGCAGAGCTCAGGGGTTATTAGGAATTCTGGTAGTGCTTGGGGACCATATTGGATGATAGGTATGGAATCTCGGTCAGCCATGTGCAAAGAAAACACCCTACCAGCTGTAGGGCTGTAAGGCTCCAGCCCCTCTCAATTTGAGAATAACAAAATTTTGCCTTGTCTGAATCCCTGGGAATCCCACAGAAAACAGAAAACACAACTTTCCCACCATAATTAGCAGATCTGAGCCCAACTCAGAAGGGACCTGCTCTAACCTGTGCTAGGTAAACCTTTATTCTACATCCTGGAAGCCACTCAGCCATAAAGGCTTTGTGAATGAATGTCTGTTTTGGTTTTTTTGGGGTCCATACTCAGTAGTGCTCAGGGGTAATCCCTGACTCTGGGATGGATGGTTGTTCACAGGACTATGCAGTGTCAGTGAGCAAACGCAGGTATCCTGTATGCAGAGCATGTACTAGCTGTTATCTCCAGTCCAGCATCCAAAGCATGATTAGTTGGGTACATGAGCACAGGGTATTTGGTCAGGCCCAGTTCTTTACAACTGTTTCTGCAGCAGAGGCCTCCAGTACCTCCCAGGGCTAACAGACATGGTGCTTCAAGTTCCTTATTGGCTTTGTTCCTATATCCCAGAACTGTTACCCCAAGAATATAAACTGAAATAAACATTCTGCCCAGAATTATCAATAATGAGCCCGACAATTCACTAGAACTGGTAGATCTTGAGCAGCCTCAGTAGAACTCAATACTTTAGATGTGGGCTGCAATGGATTTACTTGAAAGCTTATTTCTCAGAATCCTTGTGACAAATACAAATCCTGTGACAAGATATTCTGTCTCACAATATACCTCTGACCCTACCCCAGCAGTTCTCATTTTTCATTTCATTTCATTTCATCATCCTGTTAATCGTCGATTGCCTCGAGCAGGCCCCAGTAACGTCTCTTTCATCCTAGCCCTGAGATTATATTCACGGCTCTTTAGGAGAATGAGACCCATCATTGTTACTGGTATTTGGCATATTTGGTAGGCCACGGGGAGTTTGCCAGACTCTGCCCTGTGGGCAGGCTACATTCGATAGCCTGCAAGTTTGTCCAAAGTAGGAATGAGATAATAAGATGTCGCGCGGCCGCAAATGCGGCCGCGCGGTTCCAGGATCTGGATTTTATAGTCTCTGAGTCTTGGCCGCTGATGGGATTACACGGCGCCAGGGGGCCAGGTGGTGGGTGTGACCCCCGCCTACTGGAATTTGGAGGATCTGGGTGGAAGATGCTCGACTCCAATTCGAGTAGGCGTGGAGGTCTCGGCCCCGGAACCCGCGTGGCTGTGTCCCTCTGCCAGTACCTTCATGGGTGCGGAGAGTGGTCTCAGCATGGTGGTGGCTGGTCCTGGAGGTCTTCGGCTGCCGTAGCCCTGGTCGGGGCGGGGAGGAAAGCTCAACCCGCTCCCCTCCAAGGGACTCCGGGAAGGAACACCCAGGCGCGGGGGCAGAGACTGCACTGCTCTCGTCCGGGATCTGGATTTTATAGTCTCTGAGTCTTGGCCGCTGATGGGATTACACGGTGCCAGGGGGCCAGGTGGTGGGTGTGACCCCCGCCTACTGGAATTTGGAGGATCTGGGTGGAAGATGCTCGACTCCAATTCGAGTAGGCGTGGAGGTCTCGGCCCCGGAACCCGCGTGGCTGTGTCCCTCTGCCAGTACCTTCATGGGTGCGGAGAGTGGTCTCAGCATGGTGGTGGCTGGTCCTGGAGGTCTTCGGCTGCCGTAGCCCTGGTCGGGGCGGGGAGGAAAGCTCAACCCGCTCCCCTCCAAGGGACTCCGGGAAGGAACACCCAGGCGCGGGGGCAGAGACTGCACTGCTCTCGTCCGGGATCTGGATTTTATAGTCTCTGAGTCTTGGCCGCTGATGGGATTACACGGCGCCAGGGGGCCAGGTGGTGGGTGTGACCCCCGCCTACTGGAATTTGGAGGATCTGGGTGGAAGATGCTCGACTCCAATTCGAGTAGGCGTGGAGGTCTCGGCCCCGGAACCCGCGTGGCTGTGTCCCTCTGCCAGTACCTTCATGGGTGCGGAGAGTGGTCTCAGCATGGTGGTGGCTGGTCCTGGAGGTCTTCGGCTGCCGTAGCCCTGGTCGGGGCGGGGAGGAAAGCTCAACCCGCTCCCCTCCAAGGGACTCCGGGAAGGAACACCCAGGCGCGGGGGCAGAGACTGCACTGCTCTCGTCCGGGATCTGGATTTTATAGTCTCTGAGTCTTGGCCGCTGATGGGATTACACGGCGCCAGGGGGCCAGGTGGTGGGTGTGACCCCCGCCTACTGGAATTTGGAGGATCTGGGTGGAAGATGCTCGACTCCAATTCGAGTAGGCGTGGAGGTCTCGGCCCCGGAACCCGCGTGGCTGTGTCCCTCTGCCAGTACCTTCATGGGTGCGGAGAGTGGTCTCAGCATGGTGGTGGCTGGTCCTGGAGGTCTTCGGCTGCCGTAGCCCTGGTCGGGGCGGGGAGGAAAGCTCAACCCGCTCCCCTCCAAGGGACTCCGGGAAGGAACACCCAGGCGCGGGGGCAGAGACTGCACTGCTCTCGTCCGGGATCTGGATTTTATAGTCTCTGAGTCTTGGCCGCTGATGGGATTACACGGCGCCAGGGGGCCAGGTGGTGGGTGTGACCCCCGCCTACTGGAATTTGGAGGATCTGGGTGGAAGATGCTCGACTCCAATTCGAGTAGGCGTGGAGGTCTCGGCCCCGGAACCCGCGTGGCTGTGTCCCTCTGCCAGCAGTTCTCAG